ATGATTTTGCTAGTTTTTCATAAAATTATGTGGAGCACATTTTTATCTTTATAATAATATGTTTATAATCTTCAAATTATTGTTTTATTTCTAACAATAACTAAGCTTAGTATCATATATAATAGGTGATCACTAAATATTTGTTGAAAGTAATAAAATCTAGTGTGTTTGGCTCCTTTACTACCCTTATAATCCTGTATAACTAGTGCCCTATAGTAAATCTTTTCCATCAGAAACATCTTGAATGATTTCTTTTTTCCCTGATCAGACTCTGACCACAACAGCACCCCCAATACAATAAGGAAATTTTAAATATTTTATATAGATCCTTAAAACATATTCAGCATCTCTATTACCCAGATACAATATTAATACTAAATTTATTATAAATTATAACTCTAAGTGATTTATCAACTGAAATACTTAGGATTTTACTACTGAATTGCTTTCATTGGAAGGTACACTAAGTTTATTTTGTGTCTTTATATACTGCTGGCACCCTGTAGCCCCCAGCTAGTGTCACTCAAATTACAATTTCAAATGAATAATTCCAAGGACTCAAAAGAGTTTAATAACAAATTTATTTTTTTAAAGATTTATTTATTTATTTATTTATTTATTTATTTATTTATTTATTTATTTATATGCACTGGGTACAGTCAGAAGTGCGAGAGGGTGAGAGAATTCACCAGAGCCAGAGCGGGGAACAGAACAGGCAGACTGACGAAATACACTGCTGACGGGAGCAGCTGGCACAGCAGAAGAGATCTGTCGCCCCATGTGGGACCCTCGCCAGTGGCCGGGGATCGAACTGGCACTGCAGAGGTTGCAGGCAGCTTCGCAGCCCAGCTCTGAACCACTGCGCCACCAGGGGAGGCCCTTAATAACACATCTGTAAGCACATCAATCAAGGGATATACTAGAACTTGAAGAAGACTGGCCAAGGGAGGTGGTGGCTTTCCAGACACATCTAGAGTAAAGGAAGCCTGCATTAGTGGGTACTGATCATGTTATTGTAGTAAAAAGGTTGGGGTGCCCACAATGGTCCAGGGTTAGAACCTCCATGCTACAGTGCCAGGAGGAAGCTGTCACAGAGTAAGGCATTTTTTCCCTCTTAGGAATTTATAGTTGCTAAGGGCATTTAGTTTAGTTTAATAGGGAACCTGAGAACCAAGAAAAAGAAGTAAAATGACATCTGTCAACTCCAAAAGATTGCCAAGAAAGTCCTTGCTACCTTCCAAACTACATGGAAGAACATTCCTGAAGGACAGGGGTCATGGTATTTTATTTATCTTTGCATATCTCACAGTGCCTTGAACAATGTTTGTACACAGAAGGAGTAACATGTTAAATTGAATTAACTGAAGAACTTACTTTCTTCCTCCAGAGTATAAGTTCTTGCAAACTCCTATAGATGTTACCTTATCTAGCCTTTAAAATATTTTAAAATGTTTTTAAGTGATTGAAAATTATCACAACACCCTGAAATATTTACTCAAAACATAAAACCTGTTTTGTAGCTTTGAGGAGATGCCTGTGTACAAGGGAGTGAAGAAGTATATCTAATCCCCCCACCCCCACCCCACCACCACAGATCTTACCCAGCGCCAGCTTTCATCAATATTTATTTATTTGTTTGCCATGCAAATAGAAATAATGCCTTCCTCTATAGGGTAAGCATTTAGAATCTGGCACATTGAAAAGCAAGAAGTGGAGTGAATAGTGGTGATATCAGAATTGGGAATTTTCTGTATTCTCTTGATCTTTCTTTTTAACCTGCTTTGAAAGGGTGGGGGGAATTCTTTCACATACCTGAGTGGGTATTAGAAGCTGTTAAATAGTGGTTAAAACTGGAAACAGTGGAGGGAACTTTCCTCCCCCATTTTTTAAAGTTTGGCTGTAGGTCCTTCTGCCTGCAGGCTACAGTCACATTAGCAGTTGAAAATTGGATAACGACAGCACAATGACAAATCCAGGTTGCTTGCAATAAGTTGCTAATCCCTTTGCTTTAATATCGGAGCAGCATATAATGATGTTTGGACATCACTCCAGTTTACTGACGACCCCACTGGGGCCAGCAATAGAACCTTACAACTGTCTAACAAGGCGTCAGGTGACTCCCGTCGTCACAGCAACGGACACTGGAATCTAATCTTCCCTCCATCCCTTCTAGCACCCAATAACGCCTAGATTATATAAGTGGCCCATCATTGCTTGGTAACTTGAATCAATTAACGTTAATTCGCACAATGCTATGATGTATTGTGATCACTTTCATTTCAGGGAAGGGGGAGAAATTGCTATAAGTCACCTAAAATGAGGTTGTCTGTGGTGCTGAGGTATTAATTGGGTGTCCATATTAAATGCAAAAGGAGCCCCATCGTGAAAGGAAAGTGGATGAGTGACTCTCTTGGCTGCTATTGACCTATCAGAAGAAGACAGTGCCCTTTTCCTTTGCTTTTATCTATTACAGTTTTCCCTATTGCGTGTCAAGTTGATGTATTATAAAAAATTCATTTGGTGACCTTTCACCCCCTTAGCAGATTAAACAATTTCACTTCGATGGCATCATTAACAGGACCCTGCATTTAATGATGATTTCTCTAAAAGGCCACGGAGATTCGATTTTAAGCTAACAGATTTATTGCACTATTATAACATATCGTAAAAAACTGTACCACCTACGGTCAGGTTTTAGGATAGAAACTGCTTAAGAGTTTATGTGGAGCTTAAAGTGGTATTACCTTGGGATATGCTGTAGCAGCAAGTCTCTGACCTCCAGTGAGATGCTGTTTACATTTAATAAGAGATGTTTGCTCACAATAAACTTTAAAGTGTGTCAGGGATGGGCCTTTCAGTGGGCATTCAGGCAGTTGGTTCTCCTCCCTCCGTCTCTAGACATCAGTGTACATATGTCAGTGTCTTTCATGGAGTCTTTCCATTTCCTTAACCCACGCTGCTAGCCTGCGTCCGTCCTGCATCAGAAAGCATTTAAGAATGAGGTTAGGGGACAAAAGTAGAATCTGGTGACAATGCTAGGCTTTTCTAATAACCTGAAACCTATAGAAGGATAGAATTAATGGCATGGATTTTAAAATGTCATTTAAAATGTTCCCTTAAATAAGAGGAGCCTTATCCATTTAGGCTAAGCAAGCTAATAAATGAGTAGGCTAATAGAAGCTGAATCCCACGAGTGACTTGCAAATTTGCTTTAGCTGGCAGATGATCACAGTGGTCTTCAGAACCACACATGCTTCTCTGTACCCATTTCTCAGGATTCTTAAGAGAAATACTTCCTACAGAAATTTCACCAGTGTTTGCTCTTCCACTATTTCCTTTTTTTAGAACTTATTGTCACTTTTCCCTGATATATAGCTTCCTTGTAAATATCTTACCCTTTTTCCTTGCAGAAGGAAAAAAAAAAAGTTTGGGGAATAAAAGCAGTTGGGTTGTGTCACATGAATTTAATTGAAGGCAGAATAGGCTCTTTTTGTTCTAGTTTTTTTTTTTTTAATCAAAATCTTGGTAAATATGATCTAAGCCTGTTTTGAGGATAGGACATCAAGGGGTGCTCTATATTAGTGTAATAAATATCATATAATATTTCTATATATCTATTCAATTGCTAAACATTTATAGCAAGACTATTACATGTGATATACAATAGGTTTGATGGACAATTAGATAATGTATAATGCTTTTTTAGTAAAGTTTTCTTGCTTATCAAAAATACCGAAGCTCTTGACTGAAGATGTTTTGATTGTTGAATGATTATATGAGTTATATAATCATTTTATATTCATTCTATTTTATTACTAAGTCATTAATAATTAATTTTCTTGTGTGAGGTATAAAAAGTAAGTTTTCTTTGGTTAACTTCTCTAGATCTTGGTCATTCACTTCTATTTGCACAAACTCTGGCAAGTTAAGCTTTTTTGGATCTCAGCTTTTTCACCTATAGGGAAGAGTGTGTGCCTCATCGTGTCATTTAAAAATTTGTAGTATATATAGAGAAAGCTTAGAAAAACACCCGGTATTTGGTAAGTGCTTAGCATATGTTACTTGTAAGTATTATTCTCCCTAGGGGCTTCATTGAATTAAAATAAATTAATCTATCAATAGCACAGTTATGGACATTATTTAGTTTGAGCACAACGCGGAGAGTAAAGCATGAAAGGTGTTCTGTGAGGATGCAGTGAGCAAGTCCATGTAAAACAGCCCCATTGGCACTCACTCTCGAAACCTCTTTCCAATTTTTTTACACCGATGTCATCTTGGTGCCTTGGAATCAACGTGGTGGGAGTACTTATACTATGGAAATTGGTAAACTGCAAATCAAGGTTGTTTTGGGAGGGAGAAATGGTTTACTAACTTTTTATTTTTTTAAAGATTTATTTATTTATGCATGCAAGGAGTGGGGTACAGGTCAAAGGTGGGGGAGTGAGAGGATTCACCAGAGACAGAGTGAATAGACAGAACAGGCAGATTGACCAAAATACTCTGCTGAGGGGAGTAGCGGGCGAGTCAGGAGAGGTCTGCTGTGCTGTGTGGGTAACTTCCCTGGCCGGGGATCGACCTGTGCTGCAGTGGCTGTGGAGAGCTTCATTGTGCTACATCTTAATCCCTTGTGCCACCAGGCCCCTTACTAACTTTTTACACTGAACAAATTACCCCTCTCTAAGTAAGTCTGATAAGTTCTTTCACTGAGACTTTTTAGGATGAATCTGACAAACCATGATAAAAATCTGAGTTCATAATTTGTGCTTCGCCTCCCCCCACACAGCTAGTTCATCCTTTCTGATGCTTCAGCAAGCATGCAAAATAAATACAATTTTTTTTTTAGTTATAAGGTCATGTTCACTATATAGTGCACTATTAAGTTTCCAGAAACAAAGGCAAATGCAAATATTTTCATTGGTAATAGACTATTATGGAAAATAGCAGCAGAGGTGATATTTGCAGTCTCATGGATGTCTTCTGTTTGTTTTTCCATGTGCCAGAAATACAAGTTTGAAAACTGGGAACTTGATATACGTTCGACCTTATGCTCTTTCAGTTCTGGTCCAACCTTCGGATGGACAAGTAGGAAAAGAACTTCCAGTTCAACCACAACTTGTTTTTCTGGATAAGCAGGTAACTTGTTGATAGCTAACACTCTTTCTTTAGAGCTGGGTAGCACGTTGTACATAACATGTGTTTTCGATTTGATCATCAGGGCACACAATGACAGAGTGTGGGCTGTGTGAGATCCACTACACTTAGAACTTCAACTTGCATCATTTCCTTTCATTTCTCAATCTGCTTTCCTTCCATTCTCTATGAATGTCCAGAATTTGATCAAGGCTAAAAATATAATTCTGATCCTTTTCTTTCTCAAGTTCTTGAAGTAGATATCTCATATCTTTTCTGAAATCTAGCCTTCTCAAAGAAGTATGTCCATATCTGAAAAAGTACTTTCATATGCTAATGAAGGGATGTATGGTGTTGCACGTGCCTTATAGTTTTATGTTCTTTTAAATTATTTCTTTTATATGTGCTGAAGTCAATCAAGAGACTATATTTAATTCTAATTCCATTCTAAATCATGCTCTCTGATTCTATTTTATCTGTATTTTTTATTTTTTAAAAGATTAATTTATCTATGCACACAAGAACTGGGGAGTAGGCCAGAGGTATGGGGAGTGAAGGGATTCACCAGAGACATAGTGGGGAAAAGAAAAGGCAGATTTACTGAAATACACTGCTGAGGGGAGCAGTGGGAGAGACAGAAGAGGTCTGCTGTGTCACATGGCTTAGCTCCCCGTGCTGGGATCAGACTCATGCTGCAGTGGCTGGCGATAGCTTGATAGTGCTGTGTCTTTAACCCCTATGCCACCAAGGAGGCCCATTTTATCTGTATTTTTTAAGCACAGAGAAAAACAGTGAAATGTGATTATTAAATCAGCTTTCATTCTTTGCTTTAAAAATGCATGCCTTGACCTGTTTGCAGAGGGAAGAAGGCCTGGTACTGAGGTCCACACTTAGAAACCTGATCTAGTCTGGACCCAATCCAACTATCTTCTGCTTGATTCTCTTAACTTTTCCTTCCTTTTCAAACTTCAGCACAGAATTCCATTCTCCTCTTCTATCAACTTAGCTTCCCTTTCTCCTTTCCTCTGCCCTGCCCCAATTTTTCCTATACTAACCACCTGAAATTAACAAGCTAATTTTGATATATTTCTAACATGAGTAAGAAAACATCATTTTCCTTCCTTTGCTTATTTCTGCCAAGTATGTGCTTTATAGAAGATTCCTTTATACATGCTCTTCTTTTTTAGGATTTCAAAAAAATTAAATTCTTTTCATAACTAACTTTTCCTTTTTTTCCCCCTACTTCCAGAGTCAGCGAGTGGTGTCCTTGGGGCCCCCCTTAGAACCTTGGGCTGTTTCTGTTTCCCTGGAAGGGGTACCAGATTCAATGCTGAAAGGTAGGTGTCAGTGACTTCAGAGAACTGTTTCAATTGCATCTGAAAATGCTCACAGCCATCAGGAATTCAGAGCAAGGTCAGTAATACTCAATATTTTCAGTAATTCTGAAGAAAACTCCTTCATTCCTAGTCTACAGGCACAGTGTCTGCATAAAGGAAGATTGGGCTGGCAGTAAACATGAAGGAAACCCTTCTCTTCTCCCTTTCCTTGTATGATAAAGGAGCATTTTCATCATACTGTATCCTCAATGTGGTATAAGGAAAAAGCCTTGAAATATTTGGTTAGATCTCATTCAAATTTAGTTTATTTTTTAAGATTTATTTATTTATTTATTTATTTATTTATTTATACAAGCATTGGGTACAGTCAGAAGTGTGGGAGGGTAAGAGAATTCACCAGAGCCAGAGCGGGGAACAGAACAGGCAAACTGACGAAATACACGCTGAGGGGAGCAGCGGGCGGCAGGAGAGGTCTGTCGCCCCATGTAGGGCCCTCGCCCAGTGGCCGGGATCAAATTAGCACTGCAGGGGTTGCGGGCAGCTTAGCAACCCAGCCTCTCAACCGCTGCGCCACTGGGGAGGCCCTAGAGCCTATTTTAAAACATGAGAAGACCCCCCCCCCATTAGTGGCTGTCACAGATTAAGAACTCAGAATTCTAAGGAATTCTGGAGCACCACTGGCTTTTCTTGTCTTTGTTTTAGAACTTAAAAACAAACACATTTTATTATGAAATAGTCGAGGTATTGTTTTTTCATGTTTTATTTTTTTAAAAATTTATTTTTTTATGCATACAAGAACTGGGGTACAGGCCAGAGGTATGGGGGGGTAGAGGATTCACCAGAGACAGAGTGGGGAGCAGAACAGGCAGACTGACCAAAGTACACTGCTGAGGAGAGCAGCGGGCAAGTCAGGAGAGGTCTGCTGCACCATGTGAGATGTTCCCTGGCCGGCCAGGGATCGAACTCATGCTGCAGAGGCTGCGATTGCTTCATAGTGCAGTGCTTAACCCCTTGTGCCACCAGGGAGGCCCCTGTTTTCATGTTTCAAAACCACCTTTAATAGAACCCACAGAAAATATGTTAAGGAGAATCTGTTTGAGAAGCAGAAAGAAGACAAAGGAGACTAATGGCTGAGGGAGAGGAAGGGAAGAAGTGAAGCCAGGGAGCCAGGCAAGAGAAATGAGGGTAGACTCAACTCTGGGACCTGACACTGAGACACCAACTCAGGTATTTCCCATATTTTCCATACTTCACTCATCCATCTATATTGTGTTCACTTTGGGTAAAGTAACACTTATGTTGCTGACTCAATTTTGATCCTTTTGGTAGCATCTTTGCTCAAGCAGTTAAGTCTGAAACTCTGTGGGTTAAAATCCCAAGAAAAGGGGGCATCCTAAAATATTCCCTGTACAAATTTGCAAAAGCAAACTACATTATTAAGAAAGTCAAGTAATTAAGTGAAGTTATCCATGGCTGGCCAATGTGAAAATTAAGATTCAGAATTTCGTTATGAAGTAGTTTTAAACTGCCTCTTCGGGTGCCATCATTCTGCTCATTTTTTGGTGCCACTTAGCTACTGCCGGCATATCAGTATAGAGAATGCATAAGATAGAATAACAATTCACTTACCTGCTCATGTTAAAATAATACTGTAGCTTGAAAACCATCAAATTTTAACTTTTTTTGTGTTCTAATAATATGTACAGTAGTTACTCTAGCCTGACTGCTTAAATTCACAGGCCTTTGACCTCTAGTCCATATTTCAATATTCCATACATTACCCACACTTTAAATCTTTCACATATTTCATACCTTACTCTTCATTCCATACCTCTTTGTCCTCACAGGCTTCTCTAACAGGTTACCATAGAGTGGGTGGCTTGTAACAACAGAAACTCACAGTTTTGGAGGTGGGGAAGTCAAAGATCAAGGCTTCTGCAAGTTCAATGTCTGGTGAGAGCCTGCTTCCTGGTTCATAGATGAACCCCTGTCTGTTCATATGGCAGAAGTAAGGAAGGATCTGTTTCATAAAGACACTAAACTTATTTATGAGGGCTCTTCCCTCATTATCTAATAGCTTTCCAAAGTCCCACTTCCAAATTCCATCACATGGGAAATTAGGTTCCAACATTTGAGTTTTGGATGGATAGGGACATTCAGTCTATAACAATAACTTACTCAACACCTTATTCATGCTCCATGCCTTAGCTGTACTCCACATCATTAGTCATACTCCATACCTTATCCCTAGCCTATCCTGTCTGTACTCCTAACCATTACCCCTACTCCATCACTCATACCCTCATTCCCATAATCTTTTTCATTAGTGAACTATTGTTGTAAAATCCACATAACATACAACTTAGTATTTTGACCATTTTTAGGTATACATCCATATACTTTACCTTACTTTACCTTAGCCATACTGCACTCCTTACCCAGACTTCATGGTTTCTTTGCCCCACTTCTACACTCACCCACAGTCCATGATTTTTCTTTCAGTTCTCCCAAGAGTATCATCCCTGCTTACCTCAGAATCATATTATCTTGCAAAATGAATGAGGAAGGAAACTCTTTGCTACTTTATTCTACCAATACCAAGTCAGGCACAAGCCAGCTGACTCATATGAATGAGTACAGTCACTGCCCTCCTTGGGAAATACAGTGGGAAATGAGAGGAACTGACTGGGTTGTTTTCTAATTTGGGAGGGGTTATGTAATGGGAAAAAATCTTGTGTAGTTTTCTGTCTTTGGAATGCCCATACCAGTAAAATCATCTTATTTCATAGGATTGAAACTCTCTTGAAGCCATCATGAAGTGTTTCTTCACTTCAGAAAAAGTGAAAGCAATGAAGTTTTGGGTGGATTACTTAATGTATTCAAGCATTTCTGGATTGAAAAAATAAAAATAAAAATAAAAACAACAAACCATACCTATATGTCTAGTTTAAGTCTTCCATCCTTCTATTTAACTTCATGTTCTCATATCTCAGAAGATCTTCTTCAGTGAAGGAGAGGTTATTGTCTAGTGACAAAAAGTGGGTTTATGTACTGAAAGACAATTATTTAAGGGGTCTTAAGATCCTTTGATATTGAATTATCAATTCTAAATATTTTAAAAAGTCTCAGCATTGATGATGTAGCAGTTTGCCAGCTTGTAGAGCTAGGGGTGAAAGGGAGATCCATGGGAATAATTTGGGCCATAAAGGTGTTTTAAAAACCACATGCCCTACAGAAACACATTCAGGTACCCTCCCTGATAGGCTTGTGTTCAGTTTCAGTATTGCTTCAAGCCCAGCACCCCACCACGTCCCAGGTTCGCACGTTGTTTATACCAGCTTGATCGGAGAGCCTGTCAATAGCACTTGTATATTTTACAATTGCCATTGCAGGGATATGATGAACCCTGGAGTAATGTACTGTACTTGGCAGCAACTGCCTCAGCTTTTGGGCACATATGCTTCAAATCTGAGAATATCATAGATATATATGGGAATCTTTTTAGAGATCTCTGAGGCAAGCTGGTATTTAACGCAAAAGCAAACCCATTTGGAGCTAAAGCACTTTCCATTAGGCAGTTTGGCGGCTGTTCTATGAGGCAGACTCACTGTGCTCCACGGACACATTTCGATTAAATGCTGCTTTGTATTCCTCCAAAGATGGGAACAATAAGGACGTTTGTCAAAGGAAAAACTGCAGCAAACGATTTCATGTTGAACATCTGTACTCTGTGGTTCATTGTTTGCAAGAGTTTATTGACCATAATTTTGATGCATATAGGTTTTAAAGAGTATAAACTACATTTATCTTGGGCGCCTATCATTTATTTGAGTCTTGGCTTATTTATTTCCATTTTTCTGGGCATTTTATTTATTTTGGGACTCTGAAGAGATGAAGTAAAAGATGTTTCCAAAAAGAAAAAAGGAAGTTTTAGTTAGCTCTGCAAAATTGATGAGGAAAGATGTTTTCACAAAAAAGGATTAAACAATTGAATTGAAAAATGTTTAACACTAAGCACATTATATCTTCATAATACTTTTCAGTCTTAGAGATAGCAAACTAATTTTTAAGCTTGAAGATCTCTCTCCAAACTCGTTGTCCACCTTACCAATCATAGTGACATTTCCAGAGTGAAATGTAGCAGCTGTTAATTAGCAAAGTAATGTGAGGGTAGTAGAGTGAGAAGACTAATTAATGGTATGTGAATGTGATCTTGAGCTAAGTTGCTTTCTTTCACATTATAAATGGATAGCCTATTGTTAAAAGATGTAAGCTTTTTTTTTCTTCCCTTTTTTTTTTTGTATTTTATGCAAGGAAACCATAACCTGGGGCAATCTAAGTTGCTAAATCAGAGTAGCCTTTATCAGTAATGATTTGAAGCATTGCTGTGGCCCTGATCTATTAGCCTAACACTACCACCATATAAACTACAGATTCCTTGAATTGAACAGTCACAGCTTAAAAACTGACCACCCACAAAGATAATTGACTTTCTGATTTAAGATATATTTAATAATAAGGAAGTCAATATGTAGTTTTGGGGAAGAATTTAAATCAGACAGATCAAGGCTCTAACAATAGCATCAATTAATTTAACCTTTCATGAACCAATTTCCTAGTCTCTAGAATATAGGTGGTAGACTATATTAGAGGGCTGTGTGGTATATTTACAATGATATATATAAAACAGTGTCTGGTACAGGAAGATTTCAAAATATGTTAGCTGTTATTACTATTATTTTGTCTTGGATTATTTGGTTCTAAGACTTCACTATAAAAATCCTGAGGGATTTAAGTAACTTATTTAATTAAAAAAATTTTCCTTTTATGTCCAATAGCTGTTCTACAGAGAAGATTTAAAAGAGCAGCTCTTGAGTAGATAACTAATATCAGGTTTTTGGTTTTGTATTCTTTTGCAGGCTGTACTCAAGCAGAAACTCAAGATGGTTATGTGAGCTTCTCCAACTTGGCAGTTTTGATCTCTGGGTCAAATTGGCACTTTATTTTTACTGTCACTTCCCCTCCAGGTAATTTCAGCACATTGTATTTTTATTATGTTTCTTTTGGGAAAAAAATAGCCTTTTCTCACTTATAGTAGGAATAGCTCCTATCATGAATAAGATCAGAATTTAGCAAAAAAAGATCACTTGGTTATGTCATTAATGTCTCAGAAGCAAGAACACATGTAGAAATTAAGTCGGAAGAATAGGCTGGTAAGAATCCAAATGCAAATTTTCTTCCAGTTATTAAAATTTATTTTGAATGTTTTACTTTTCAAAAAATTTCTATATCATTTGTTGACATTTGGCTGGATATTAATTAGAAAATTTTAGTTTATGAGGATAATCATAGTATGTTTTTATGAAATTTTATCATTCTGTCCTGCCCTCCTCATCCACTGCTCCATCTCTCCCATGAATGGTGACTGTACTCATTCAAAATCCCCATATTTTAGTAATAGAGATATAAAGTTAGGGTAAATTGTTTATGTGATACAGTTCTTGACAAAATATTAAAACAAATTCTCCCTTCTGGAGTATTTGTGACAGTGTTTCGTTTATCGGAGGGTAATATTTTTCAATAAGTTTGTAGTGGATAGCATTTTATTTTTGTGTTTTCTTAAAGATTTATTTATTTATGCATACAAGAACTGGGGTACAGGCCAGAGGTGGGGGGGATTCTCCAGAGACGAGTGGGGAACAGAACAGGCAGACGGACTGAAATACACTGTTGAGGGGAGCAGTGGGCAAGACAGGAGAGGCCTGCTGCACCATGTGGGTAGCTCCCTGGCCACCCGGGGATGGAACTTGTGCTACAGAGGGTGAGGATAGCTTTGCAGTGCTGTGCTTAACCCCTTGCACTACCAGGGAGGCCTTGGATAGCATTTTGAAGTCAGATGAGCCTACATAGAAATACTAGTCCCCCATCTCCATGAAGGGGAGAGCCGAGTGCAATTTTGACCTTTTTTTAAAGGTGACTTGGTGGTGGGAATTTATGAGGATTACACTTGTGAGGAGAAATCTAGCACTGTAGTCAGGAAAATTAGTCTGATACTTAAGATGTGCATCTGTGAAGAACAATTCACGCACAGGCATAAGGCAAAGTTTGATAAAGCACATTAGCACAATCACTGAATTTCAACCTCTTAGACTGGAAATGGTAAAGAAGTTCAGTGTTTTCATGTGAGTTGGTGATCCTCAAGAGCCCATGTTTAATTATGTCCAGATAGTTGTTCTTCCTCACAAGACTTTGATTCAAATTGTCATAGTATATATTTCATAAGTTAAAAAAATATGATTGTTATGAAAATATATAATAAGCATTTATCAAATGTTACTTATTAATAAGGGAATCAGGAGGCTGGCAAAGCAGGTTTCAAAAACATTTGAGGGGTATGGATCATGTAGCCAGGGAAGAACTGCTGAGATAAATTTGCTAAATTGGGTAATAAAACCAGAACCTTTGAGGTTACATCTTAGCTAGACAAAAATCATTTGCAGTTTACCAATCTTTAACAAGCTAACAAGACTGAGCCCTAATTAATAATAGTCAATTAAGTCATGGACCTGTTTAAAAAGGCTTCAGCATAGGATCTATTATTGTTTTTCTTCATTCCATGTTTTGGATAATTTTTCTTCACAAAGGGAATTATCTGCAGAAGTCAGATAATATTATTAAGTATTAACTTTGCAGGGCAGATTCTTTTACTAGTGAGGAAGTTATCCTAATGTGAGCACATGTTCATGGAGAAGCATGTTCAGTGTCATTGGCCATGAGAGTCCAATGATATAGCCTTAAGTTTTTGAATGAATATCTTTTGAAGGGTTACACACTCAGAGCTGGATTCTTTGTCTTCTATTTGTTGGGTATTTTAAAGACCTCTGTACTTGAATTTCCTCCGCGGTTAACTAAGATTAGCCAAATACTTCATTCAGGTTATTTTAAAAAATAAGTTATCTAAGCAAATGTCAAATGTGGTATAGGCAGAAAAATCTCAGTACCATTTGTAATTTTGAACTGGAATTAGTGTTCATAGTGAATAGATTACTATTTATTTTAGGTTTCTGTCTACAACTTATCAAGGAATAATCTCAAAAAGTTTTCTTTTACATTGCCCCTTAAGTTATATTCATAATGTTCACAACAAATCTATGAGGTGAGGCCGCATTAGAATGATATATACAGAAGTTTAAGTTAGAAGAGAACAATGAAGAATAAGAAGAGCATAAAAGGTCCTGTACTTCTTTGGCCCTTTATTGCCATCCTATCACTCCAGAAAGAAACTCCATATTTCCAGGAATATTGATTTCTAGTACCAGGATCACTTGGGAAAGAAGCCCTTATTCACACATTGATAGGCCAACCGATGAAATTTCTTATTTGTAACATGTTTCAAAATAGTGGGTACAGCAAGTGTTGATTCATGTTGTTTTTGTTGCATTCATCTATGAATCAAGCAGAGAACCTGCAATAATTACCATTATTTTCCCTCTTCTCCCTTAGAGAGTGGGACACATACTGTAGCAGGAGGAGGACCTCATCCTCCGGTGCCTAGGAAGAGCAGATCCCATTATTCCTTCATTATTCCTTATAGAAATTGAGGACTTGAGAGCTTAGATTGGCCCAAACAAATATGTATGAATCCTTTTGAGTCTTTCTAATATGTAGATTCATCTACTTCATTTGTCTATTTCTGAACTGCCTAAGACACTGCAAAGGGAAAAGTGTGTCTGCAGTTTGCACTATTGACTTCCCGCCCAGCATTTCCCCTGTTCACTCATCACCATGTCTGAGGCTGTGGTTTCTCTAACCATTCCTTGCAGATGTGGAGTTCTTGGAGGTTCAGGGGTGCTTCTGGGTTGAGAAGGGGTTGCAGAAACCAGGGAAACTTCTGCCTCTAATCCAGTAAATCTCTATTGTATTTGGCATTTCCTTGACTGGAACAGTCTTTCTCCAGAAATTCACATGGCCCATTTACCAGTTCACCCAGGTTTCTTCTCAAATATTACCTCCTCAAAGAGGCCTTTTCTGGGTCACTCACTCTGTTACATTATCCTCTCCAACCCCTCCCCCATGACCAGTCCTTTCTCTCTCTTCCATCCTTAGTGTGGTCTTCTTCATGCACTTATCGCTGGTGTCAGCCTTTCCTCATATTTGCTTGCTTGTCTGTTGCCTGTGTGTTCTGTCCCCCACTAGAAGCTAAATTCCAAAAGGGACATGAATTCTGCATAGTTCAGCATTATATCCTCAGGGTGAGAAAATTCTGGCACATCATAGGCACACGCAAATATTTATTTATGAATAAATGAGCATATTAGATTATGAGTAAGATTGCATTTAAAATAAATGTTCTGCTGCTAAAAATATTTGAAATCTGGTGGTCTCCACCCTCAGACCCACATTACTGCCCCAGGCTTATAAACTGTTCTCCCTGTAGCCTGTCACTATCTGTGCTGTAAACACATCTGTGGACTGAGCTTCTATATCCCATGTTACTTGTGCCACTTCTCAGCTCAGAATTTCCCCTTCTAAGACATCTCATTGCCTTCAGAATATAGCCAAGGACCTTATGACTCACATTGAAGACCCACCAAAATTTTCAGCTTTAGTCATCAGTATTTGCCAGCATTAATTTTGTGAACAGCAGTTGCTCATTTCTCCTTTCTATCTTTATTTGCTTCAGATGCTCTTTCCTCTGGGATGCTTTCCTGGATCACATCAATGGAGAATAACCTTCCAAAGCAATTGATTTGCATTATTCTCGGAGCATTTACCACATCCTCATTTGTATTACAAATATTTGAATATATATCTTATTTATTTTTGAAATTGTAAATATCTTAAGCCTGAGAACAGTCACTTATCCAGTTAGCAAGGTAAACAATCTCTGAACAATCATTGGAAAATAGAGAAAAGAAAGAAGGATTTTTGTTTTCACTTTTTGTGAATCACTGGTAAAATCTATTCCCCTGTCTCTGGGCTAGATTTAGCTTATTCATATGCCCATAAAAAGCAACTAATTGATAACGAATAAGCCAAATATGGCTCAAGTGTAAGATGTACACACAGGAGAACCATTTGTAGCTAATTTTGTTATGGTAGCGTTGGGACCAAGTCATGCAGAAGTCAAAAGACTGATGATCTTACTGTGACTTCCAGTTCAATTGTGAGGTTCAGCTCAAGGAAAGCACAGAAAAGGAAAATAGAGTATTTCCTTGTGTGGAGAGAACAAAAGGTGCTTTTGCCAGAGTTATCCTGATAAAAGCGGAGACTTGAGGTTGGTTTGTTTTGAAAGCTATTTCAAAAATGCTGACAATAATTAATTTTCATAGGCACATTTTTTGGTAACATTTCATTTTTATATGAGGTGTAATGGACATATGATAAACTATTCATCTTTGATGTGTAGTATGCGATGCAACATGTTTTGTTGAATGTATACTCCCGTGAAACCATACTCCCAATGAAGATGAAGAATACATTCAGAGGACTCCCTGGTGGTGCAAGGGGTTAAACACAGCACTGTGAAGCTATCCACAGCCTCTGCAGCATGAGTTCGATCCCCAGCTGGCCAGGGAGCTACCCACATGGTGTGGCATACCTCTCCTGACTTACCCGTTGCTCCCCTCAGCAGTGTATTTCAGTCAATCTGCCTGTTCTGCTCCCCACTCTGTCTCTGGTGAATACTTTCACTCCCCACACCTCTGGCCTGTACCCCAGCTCTTGTATGCATAAATAAATAAATCTTTTAAAAAAATATATTCAGCATAATGCTGCTGATGTTCATCCCAGTTTCTCTCTGCCTCCTCCCTTCCTCCATTGCTTCTCTAACCACCCCCCTCCTTTTCTCTTTTCTGTTTTTTTTCTTTTTCTTTTTCCTTTTTCTTTCTGGTTGAGAAGTACTCCATTGTCTGAATAAACCACAGTTGGTTATTCATTCGCCTTTGAAGATCATTTGTTTCTGGTTTTGTGATGATGCATAGAGTTGCTATGAACATTTTTGTGTAGGTATTTGTGTGTATAAGCAAGTTTCGCTTCTAGATTCTTCTATGTCTTGCTTCATAAATAATAATGGAGTGAAAGCCAAATTTTCCAACTTACAAAAAGGATGACATTTGAGATGAATTCTTAGAAGATGTACCCTATAAACAGCAAGCTGCCCATTTTGCCCCATCACCCATAGCCACTGCTCTACTCTTAACTTTCCTAATGGCAAAATTCTCCTAACTCTGAAGTAGGATTTCTTGTACCCCTGTTACTATGTGTTACATACCATATTTTAGGTAGGATGAAAAGTCACAGCAAGTAGTTTCATGCATTCTGGAGCTTAGAGCATTTCTCATCTAATTAGAAAAATATCAGCATGAAGCTACTGTGTACATCAGTGGAAAAGGTAAATCTGAGGCTAAAATGTGAGACCTGAATGAATTCCCCACCAATAATAAACAGAATGGGAAAGAACAATCTATTATTGTCCAGACCTTGTCATCCTTCAGAAGTATAAATGTTGTAATTATTATTGATTCATTTATCATGTAAATTCACTAAATGCTTATTGAACCAACTGTATACCAGGTACTGTTGTAGGGATATCTTTTCCACACACATTTTTATTAAAGGAGCATCTTATTAATATGTTATTGTTGGAAATTTTTTTCCAGGGGCCAATTTTACAGCTCGATCCAGATCATTCGCTGTCTCTCCTGTGATGAGGATGGAGCCATCCACCCTCATCCTGGCTGCTTCTTTGAGCTCAGTGGTCTCCTGGTTGGCGCTGTGCTGTCTGGTGTGCTGTTGGTTAAAGAGAAGCAAAAGTGGAAGTATGGAGACTCATTTCTAGAACTGAAAAAATACCATCGTATATAAAATAAAAATGAAAATTTTTCTACCCAACAAAGAACTTTGTATGAACCTCCACAACACATTGAACCACATAGAGCCACATTATTTAGCTCATATAATAGAGACAAAGATTTTGTAACCCAAAATAATAACAGCAATAATAGTGAAAGGTCATATATGTTGAATAATTATTATGGATCAGGTTCTGAGTATTTTATTTTTTTTTTTATTTTTTTTTTTTTATTTTTTTTTTTTTTAATAGAGGCATGTTTTATTTATTTATTTGTTTGTTTGTTTGTTTTGTTTATACATGCACTGGGTACAGTCAGAAGCGCGGGAGGGTGAGAGAATTCACCAGAGCCAGAGCGGGGAGCAGAGCAGGCAGAAGGACCGAAGTACACTGCTGAGGGGAGCAGCGGGCGGCAGGAGAGGTCTGCGCGCCATGTGGGACCCTCCTCTGGTGGCCGGGGAGCAGCCGGGGATCGAACCGGCACCGCAGAGGCCGCGGGCAGCTTCGCAACCCAGCGCTCAACCGCTGCGCCACCGGGGAGGCCCTGGTTCTGAGTATTTTAGATGCAAAAATCTCTCATAACAACCCTAAGAAATAGGTACAAATAGTAGGTCTGCTCAGGGATATAGAACATAAGACATAGAAGAGCCAACTAACTTGTCCAAGGTCACAGCCAGCCAGAAGCCAGGCAGAATGATTCCCTTCAGGTCTTGTTCTCTGAAACACTTTGTGTGTGTGTATGTGTGTGTGTATGTTGTACTTTCTGGTTTGAAAGCAAAGAACTTCCATAGTTTTTACTCTCATGTGATTCTGTGAATTATGTGATTTAATTCTCATTCTGCATTTTATAGCTAAAGTTACAAGCCAGGCAGAGACTGCCCACTCTTACCCCATCTTTTTCCTTGTTTCCCCAGGTCTAGAGCAAGCTACTTTCTGCAGTTACTAATATATCAGTTACCTCAGTGTTCTCATCTTGCTCTTTCAATCTTTAGATTTCTGTGGACATATATTCCTGTATTAAGTCCCCATATAGTCCTGACTGGAAACCAACTCCTAACTGCCTTTAAAAAAAACTGTAAAGAAAAATGTAAATGTAAAAACTTTTTATAAAAGTCACCTTTGCGTGAGAAATTTGCATTTGCTTATACATCTTTCTGTATTCTTCAAATTTCTGAAATTAACATAACAAAATGAAGTGTTCCCCATCTTACTCATGGAAATGGATCCTCTGAATTCAGTTGTATGGTCAGGACTTAACAAAATTTTGGTCTCCAGGTCTTGTTACACTCCCAATAATTATTAAAAACTGCAAAGTGCTTTTGTTAATGTGGCAAATCTATCAGTACTTCCAAAGGGCCTCCCTGGTGGCTCATGGTGTTAAGCACAGCATTGTGAAGCAATCCACAGCCTCTGCAGCACAAGTTCTATCCCCAGGGCCAGGGAGCTACCAACATGGCACAGCAGACCTCTCCTGTCTCACCTGCTGCTCCCCTCAGCAGTGTATTTCAGTCTGCCTATTCTGCTCCCCACTCTGCCTCTGGCGAATCGTCTCACCCCCTGCATCTCTGGCCTGTACCCCAGTTCTTGTATGCATAAATAAATAAATCTTTAAGAAAATATGTCTGTGGCATTTTTACAAGTCTTTTTTTATGTGTGCCTTAAGAGAATTCTCCGAGGATCTCTTACCAGCTTCTGCACTCTACCTGTTGCAATGTATTGTTTTGGCTGAAGATAATTAAGAAAACACAGCCTCACACAGATACATAGTAGAAAAGGAATGGGTATTCTAATAGCCATTACAGACAACTGTGGCTGGTCCTCTCTGATATTGCATCCAAACTAGACAAGATATAGTTATTCAAAATAAATGTCAATTGTACTTTCTGCATTTTGTTGCATGAAAATCCACTAGTGTATCTTGCACTGTGGATGGAGTTATTTCCTATGCATGGAATAAAAAGTGACCCTGTAATTATTTCAAAATGAAATGTCAAAAACTCTCACCACTTTTTTCATTAACACAGAAATAAAAAATGAAGAGATTTCTGAACCCCAGACTCACGATCAAAAGAATCACATCCACATTTCAGCCAAGATGCAGGCGTCACGAGTAGAAGCTGAAAAAGAAGACCCCATGATGACAGAAGGTAAACTTGAACAATGGGGACCATACCCAACACAGGAACCCACTGTGGGTGACCTGCAGCCTCCCTAATTGGTTCTTAGTTTCTCAACCAATTTTATTACCCCCTCTTTGGTCATTGTTTCTTCTCAAGGAAATTATATCCCAGTACAGGAATACAGAAGTTCACCTGATTTCTTCAGTGATTAACCAGTAATTCCAGTTAACATTTATGTGTTTTTTTCTTAGTAGATTATTTAACATTTGAATTTATTACACAAAGAAAGAAAACACAAGGGGATAAGCATATAATCTTTCCCTTAGTTATTGCAAAGCTGCCAGTTTGGCAGCTTTATTGAATTTGGGATAGATAGTGTCATTGCCAAATACTCACTCTGCAATTAGTTATAATATAGCACCCTCAAGAAATGAATCAGCTTGGTTAAGGCTCTGCTTTGTTGTTTAGCTATACTTTTAGCAAAATGTATTATTTGCACACACTGTCTATTACGCCTGATGATTTTACTTGTTATGTTGTTAAATCACCATTAGAATCACTGCCAAGAAGAGAAAAGACAAGCATTTGCCTCAGACCATTGCTTTGTCTTTGTCTGTCGATGGACACAAAAAATACGAAGCAGTGGGCACAACATAGATTTGCCAAGTGTGGATATGGTGTGGGAAGACTATTCATGTCATTTCCATGGATCTGAAACATTTTGAAATGTGTTTCAAAGAGAAGATTATTCTTGTTTTAAAATAGTAGCCAATTATCATATTTTTCTGCTTGAAAAGGATTACAAATATTATAGTTCCTGAGGACATGTTTAATCAAAAATAGTAGCCTAGGTTTGTTTTTCCTCCAACTAGTTGAATGAACTCTAGTGAATGTGTGTATGTGTGTGTGTGTGTTTATGTAGCTGTTTGTGTTATTTTCCCTTGGAAAAAATGAAATTTTTTTTTAATTACCAACAAATGTTCCAACCATACTCTAGTAGCTGGGCCAGCATGAGACAATGTAAATGGGTGAAGTTGAGAAGAATGTATACCAAGAAAAGAGGACAGAAACGCCTAGATTCCACCTGAAACCATTTTCATTTTGGTTTCAAGAAGCTTCTTGTCCAGCTTTTTGTGTGTTGAAAATGGTCAACTGAACCCAGCTCTGTGAAGAGCAGCCTATTGACTGCATTCTTCAGCAAACAGCAGGAGTGATGCTAATCTTCCCCTAATCTAATATGGCCATCTACATGAATCTCAGTTGCCCTGCTTAAATTAACTACATTAAGCAGTCCACAATGCCTGAGTGTTTTATTAAGGAACATTTTTTATGTGGTAGCTTATTAATAAATTATCAGGAATGAGACAAGGGATAGGGCTCCTGAGGAAGCGTTCAGATGGAAGAGATGAGAGTATCAAAGAGGCCATTTTATTAGGCCATCCAAGTTAAAAATAGAAAGAGATGTGTTATCTGAAACCTCCCCTGGGGTTGGTAGTGGATTTGTTTCTTTATTTCTAAGCTTTGTCCAAATCTTAAGAGCATCATTTCCAAGACAAGTAATGAGGTATCTCCTGCTTTTCTTTGGAAATTATGACCAGCTTCTAAATGCCTAATCATTACTACTTTAAATAAATTTGGTTTGATTTCATGATTTCCATGGTATTTTAGTTTTCCTCTGGGTTTTTAAACTTTCAGGATTTTCTGATAAAGTGATTTGCTTTCTCTCTTATAAGCCCTTTGTATTTACTAAGCACTAAATTTATTTAGCTGATAGAACTGAGAATTTCCACTTTCCGGTAGATTCAGACTATAAGCCCACTATATTATGGCCCTTACCAAAAATTATATAGATGCAGGAGAGGTTTTAGAGAGATATGATAGGGGAAGAAGGGAGTGAAACATATATCCAGCATATTTTACTGTTACCAGAGTTTTTGATGTATAGAGGCCCCTGAACCAGTTTTTAAAACTCATACCTGCTCATGTCATTCTACTGCTCAGAAAATTTAATGAATCCCCTTTGTCAGTTGGAGAGACAGGAGAATGCCACAGTTAGGAGCATAGAACCCAGGATTTCAACAGCTGTGCTTAATCTTGTCTCCCTCGTTAACTTACTTTGTGGCTTCAAAAAAGTCTACTGTGCTCTCTTCAGGAAAACTGCCATAATTATGCCACTGTACATTGGGTTTGTTGTTTAGATTGAGTAAGTATCACTGAAGGGTCCAGAAGAACTTCTGGCATATTGTATGTGCGGCATTGGTGTTGTGTATTATTGGCTCTTCTTCTTGTTATTTAAGACTCAAAATTCTCCAAGACCTGAAGAATTCTCCATCCTGTCTTTGTAGTCTTATTTTGGACTTCTCTTTCCCACCCCCTGATGACACCACACTACCTCACCCATCTAGGACTTATCTGCTACCTTCACCCACTTGTTTGCAGTGTTCACAATTGAATTATTTTATTCATCTGTGAAAACCTCCTCTCTTTTAAATACCAGGTGAAATGATGTTTTGTTTCTTCATAGTCTTCTCCAATGCCTCCCACATCACTGAAGAGGAGTGTTTTTCTCTTTGGTCCCCAGAGTACTGAATATATTCATTGTGCATAGATGTTCATAGATGTCATTGTATGTGGATGGCCAGGACAATGCTTCTCTCACCCAGGGGCAATTTTGCCGCCCCCCCCCCAAGTAGCGTAGTAAACTAATCCTGCCTTATCTAGAGCTTTCCTAGTCTTAAAAATGAAAGTCTTGTGTCCTGGGAGCTTCAGCCTCAAATAGGTTGTGACAGTTGGTCCAAAGGCTGTTTGCAAAGTTTGGGGACATTTTTGCTGCCCAGCTTGGGGGAGAGGATACTGCTGGCATCTTGTGAGAAAATATCAGGGATTCTGTAAACATTTTACAATGACACGACCACCTTCACAGCAATGCTTATCTGGCTTCACAATGCAAAGGTTGAGGAACACAGGCAGAAGCTATGTTGGGCTTCCTACTCATTTGTGCACCAGCCTTACCTCCTTCCCAAGTATGGGGTCTCAGCTGCAAGCTTGCCCAGTTCTTGATGGTGGAAGATGAGAAAACAGGTCATGGAGCCCATGTGTGAGGAGCAGGAACAAGTCTTTGTTATGACCCAGCAGGAGATACACAGGTAGTGGCAGCATCCACCAGTGGCAGACCCCTGGGCTCTGGCCACAGCAGTGGCCCTGTGGCTGGTTAGAGACCTGTGAGATGCTGTGAGAGACCCACCAGAAAAGCCATATTAACTTTTATATGATTTATAGACAAAGCTGGCTGAGTGGAAAGTTTAGGCCCAATTTACACAAGTATGTTTTTCCCACTGTGAACTACACATCAAGGTTACATATTATTTACTTGACCACATCTCAAGGCTGCAAATTATCTACTAGGCCATCTGTGCTGGAAGGTCATGGTAAAAAACAGTTTGAGAAACTCAGAAAACCCTATGCTTTCCCATAAGCCTACAAACTGTTACTCATCTTTGTAACACTTAGGTGAGAGGTAGCTGGAATGACTTAATGAATAGAATTAGTAGAACAATCCTAGATCATCATCAATTAAGTATAAGTATAAAGCAATCGTAACAAATAATATGTACTTGAAGGATTTAAAGATGGGAGAGAATGCTAGGAGAAAGAAAGAATATCATTATCCGAAATTATAGTTTAGTTCCTCTAGCTCTACAGCATGTCACACTGTTTCAAATCCCATTTGCCAAGGGCGTGGATGTCCAGTTAAATTTCAATTTTGTATCATACCTTCTCAACTGTCCTTGTTCCCCTAATTTGATTCATTGCCTCTGGATCTTCCAAGATAGACATCTCAGAATTATCTTTAACTCCTGTTACCACCCAGACCCCTTTGCTTGGTATGTTTTATCAGTTCTGTCTCAGCAATATCTTTGATTTTCATTTTCCCTGACTTCAATTTCCAGATGTCTTCAGTTCAGTATCAGTAAGTACACTTCTTACAAATGTTTATCTCTCTACTCGATGTTGCGGTTCAGGTGATGGGGTTCCATCTGTGGGGACCTTGGGTCCATCTGAGAAAGAATTCAGCGGACGTTCCCATTTGTCAGCAAAAGGCAAGTTTATTCAGGAAAGGAGACTCCTGCATAGACACAGACTAAAAGATGAGAACTGCCATTTTCCAGAACAAGGGGTATTCTTTTATAGTGTTCTTTGATGGAGTTATTATGGAAATTATTGCTATGGGGTCAGATTGGGTTGATAATCCTCTCTGTCCCCCACCTCTGGCTGATAATCTTTTCTGACCTCACTTTAGATTCCTGGAAACTTCCATTGCCAGGTTGAAGCTAAGATTCATTAATCATCCCTACCCCCAAAAACTTCTGGTTTTGTCCTTGTGAGCCCTAAATTTTTCCATTCTAAGTTTCCATCATCCCCATGTCTTTTCCCTCGAGATAGTAATATATACATGTATCTAAATTCTGCCATTCCTTAGATCAAATACTTTTTCTCTTTTTCAAATTCTCTCATCTGAAAAGAATAGTCTCCTGTCAACTCTGAAAAGACTTCTGCCTCATTTCATGTGTCATTTAATAGTTTCTGTGTGGAAGGTCAGTCCCCACATAGGGGTTAGATAGACTTTTCTCAAATAAACCCAGGAATGCCTCTAGTCACCTGGCTTGACAACTAGAAGCCAGTCAAGACTCTGAGAGCCTCAGGAGGCCTATTACCATTACTTAAAGAATGCAGATGGTTTTATGTGAGAGCAGTAAGGGCCCTGTAGGCTAGGAGGAGCTTCTATTCTTACTCAAATCATTTACTCTACCCTAAGTAAGGAAGAGATCAATATCTTCTAAGTTTCTGTTGTTCCTTTTTGAATGGAAGAAACAGTCACTGTTCTCTCTATGACCTAAAAGAATGAATATTTGGGGGCTCTCACCCAGTTCTAGGTTTATTAGTAAACATGTTCTCTTATTTCAGAAACTTGTCTTTACTAAGGATGAAGTAACCCCCTTCTCATTGGTCATGTGAAGTCTCCCCCT